CATAATTAAATGGTAGTTGGTAAAGACCCTTCAAAACCATGCCGTATCTGTGAGGCAGAAAGTATCAATTGAAGCATATATAATGAGGGAGTAATCTAAAAAACCTTGCTCATTTGCCACAGAATGTATGTCTCCCTCTGCATACAGTATTATACAACTCCATTTTTGTGTAATTTCAAGTGAAAATAGGATTAAAAAGTGGGTGATGGAGAGTTCTTGATTATCAAACAGGCTGAATGGTCAGCTGATTTCTTGGAATAATATTTTTAATAGATTCTGTAATTTGTAACAGCGTAGGGCTTATAGATTCTTCTATGAACCCAAATCAATAGAATGTTATATTCACTGGAAAATAACAAGGAAAGGAATACTTTGCTCTTGATATGGTACAGATGCATGGCTATCTGGGTCATGCTAACTTCTGCTGAAACCACAAAGGTAATTTACCTAAGTTCACCTTGGCATTATTTCCTATTACCTATAACTTAACCAGCTCCCACAACCACTTACAAGATAGAAAAAGAAAAACATACAAAACAGCTCATCATGGCTACTCTACAAGAACAGTGACCTACAGCAGGTCTCCTTAAATCTTAGTCCATCCTACTTTCACATGATGAAACAAAATAAAATTCCTTTCTAACTGAATCATTTATAGGAAATAAAAGACAATGGTACCATATGACTTTTATGAAGCACTTTCTCTTTTTATCATGTGACAACAGTCAGGTCACTCACACCCAATCTTCAAGTCTTTCCCTTTCAGCTGAAGAGGCATCCAGGTGTGCCAGAATGTTTACCATTTGCCAACACCCTGGGTGTACTGAACCAAAGAGTGTATTGTGTCAGTGTTTTAGATCTTTCTCGTAGATCTTGAAAGGAAAATCACTTTGCACAATAAAGTGGCAAAAAGAAAGAGTAACAATCCAGGTTAGCCCAACAAGGTGGACACAGGTTATTCTAAAAAGACAAAAAGAAACTGTAGTTTTCTACAAAGTGTGAAATACATTACCATACCCCTGAAAGATGCAGCTATTTACCTCCCTTCAAGGAAAAGCTCTCTAAGATAAGCTACTTAATAGTTAAGAAAGAGAGGGAGGAAAAAAAACAACATTAAAAGATACCCACCCATTACCTCTGGAATTTCCCTACCTGGGCAAAAAAAGGAGTGGTGGATTAAAGATGTGAGTGGCCAACAGAGCACAACAGAGGAGTCACACTGTGGCTGTTCTCCAGGAACGGTTACATGCAGCAGGTTAGGTGTGTAACAGGACACTGAGGGAGTCTTTTGCCTGGTGGCACCTACACTAAGAAGTGCTGCTTTTCTCTTGCATGGATAACCTTCATACCCACCATCTGAGTAAATTCAAACAAAAGTAGTAGTAGAAAGAGCTACATACACTACCACTTACAACATGAAAAACAGAGGTTGCAGAATGCCTGAGATATCATAGGATGCTCTAAGATGTCAGAGACTGTGTTATCTTGTGTTTAATAATACCTTTTGTGTACATTTACTAAGTATTTTTAAGCCATAGAATTAAACATTACATAAAAGCTAGTTTGTAAGGAATGATAGTTGTTTTTCAATTAAAACAAGTATTTTAGAACGTCCAAAGAAACAGAATGGTGTGGGTAGGGAGGGGAGAAGAAAGGATGCTATAGCAGAAAAATCACTGCACCAAGAATAGGAGTTCTATGTTTTAATTTTGGCCACCACTTCCTCATCTGTACAATGAGAGGGTTGCAACAGTATTTCTAGCTTTACAATTCCATGAAATATGTGAAATGCACCATGACACTCACCTCTATCCTTCTCTTTTTCTAAATCCATGAAGATTTTATAGGAGATATGGGCCTCTCCCCAAAATGGTAGCTATGAGATGAAAATGAACTTCACTGGCAAGAACCAAGGATGTAGTTTACAGAATACAGAGGTTTGTTACTATTTTAATAAACTAAACAAACAAACTGGGTAAAGTTGCAATAAGCTATAATCTTTCCTAGACTAAATTCAAGAACCATGAAAGAACAACGAGATCAAGTAGCTGTTTTCAAACAGTCCAAGAACATAAAGAAGGAAAGAAGCTCTTTACCAAATGATTGGCACCTTGTCATGCAGATGTGTTTGTTGGCACCTGAACAGGAGCTGTACACTAACAAAAGCACTAGCTGGTGGTGAGAGTTTCTTAAAAATGCAGTACGTGAAAAATATTTGAAAACAGGGCATTTTTCTTGAGGTTTATGAGTTTTACTGTTGTTTTCACTCCTTAGGCATTATGGAACCTTATTAACTAAGTAAACTAAAGTCAATGATGTTTCTGAAAGAAATTATACAAATTCTGATGTCTTGGAAATATAAAATAATGAAAGAATTTTGGCTCAAATTTTTACTTAAAAAAAAAGACAACTGATGAAAAGCATAGGGCTTTTCCCAAAGTTCCTTCAACACGCGCTAAAAAGATGAAAATAAAGTAAGCAAATCAATAATAAAAGACCACTTGTTAAGAGTGATTTATATAATACTTAAATATAATTGAGCAACATATTACCCAAAAAAGCTTTTTGTCTATATTACAAAATCATCAATACCCTGGCAGAAAGCGAACAGAAAGAAACCACAGTAAAAAGAAACAGATAGCAATCAACATTAGTCAGGAACAGGTTACCAGAGATTTCTCAACCAATATTTCTATAGCCAGAGAAACAAAGTTAAATTTTAAATAAGCAAAAATCATCCATAAGAATACTATAACAGGATCAGTATGGTAAGATAGCTGATGCAAACATTTCATGAAATAACAATAAGGATTTAATGTACATTTAAAAAACACAATGAAACAAACTATAAATCCAGTCACTAATAATTAAGAAAACAATAAAGTTTTTAGTTTATATTTTTTGTAATGTAATAAAACAAACAAAATATTGATTATTCCAACACTATAGGAAAGCTCAACATAAAGAGTCCCAGAATAATGATATGGGGATCAAAAGTTTCAATAATTTAGGATGAGTAGGCAAAGATTTTTCTGATACAACATACTAACTCCTGTTCCTTTCTGGCACTGGTTCTGTGGCATCAGCATTTTTTGTGGGTTCAAATGGCACCCCTTGTCAGTTTCAAACAAATGCCATGTGCTTCACAAATTATTGAGGCAAAGAGGATAATGTAGCCATAAGTATGAAACACATTCAATATAAAGGACCTACTGATAAGTAATTTCCTAATAAATGGAAAGATAAGAATCTAAGTAATTACAGTTTATGCATATATATGTATATGTGTGTATATATATACATATATACACCACACAGTTATACAAGTAGGAGAAAAAATTTTAAAACAGAGTATCTGCTTCTTGAGAATATGCATTAACCGATATTTTAAGTAGAAATTAAATATAGGTTTTCCTTCTCTACTAGCTTCTACATGCACGTATATATATAAACCACAGGCATCTCTCTCTCTGATATCATAGGGGTCAGAGCTTTGAGCCACTCAGTATGTAATAGAGCTGATAAAAGAAAACAGAAACACCCAACTGTACTCTCTCTGGTTCAAATTCACTAATCTCAAGACTTAGTTTTCTTTTCCTTGTCATTTAAATACATTGCCTCAAATCTCACTTAAGGATTACTGTCTGTTTCAGTGATATTTTTTCTTCACCTGTGATGAAAAAAAATTAATCTACACAATTTTCCTATTAAATATGTCAATTTTCCTTGCTTAACATGTAAAAATTACCATGTAATTTCTATTATATTGAGAGACTGAGAAATAATCAAGTATGAAAGTAAATGGCAAATTTTATATTCATCATTTGATATTCAAATGCCAACTGAGGCTAAGAAAGTGATCTGATGTTTTTGACTGATACGGACCTCATACTTAAGCTCTGAATAAGGTTTTAAAATAAGTGGTTTAAAACTCATGTTTGAAATCCTGAAATCTCCTAGAATTATAGGTTCAATTGTTATGAAAAAAGACTAAGCTGTTCATCATACTGAAATATGCGTATGGACCATTAGCAAATTCACTGGGTGTGAGAAGCTTTAAAAAAGTTCTATATATATCCTTCCTTTCCAGAAAGTAAGGGAAAGGTAAAAAGTTAAAAACAAATATAAATAAGGAAATATGAATACAAAAAGACAAAGATTAATTAATATCTTACAGGCAGAGAAGTTGTGATTACATTGATTTCAAGACAAGTTAAACCTTCATTGCAGTTCTACAGCATTTATTAAATACCTAATATGTGCTAAATGCTATGCTTAGATGCTGGGGATAGAAGCAAAAATATCAAACAGTAAATATTCTCGAGGATCCTTAATCTGAGGTTATTATACTTGGCTACTTATCAATTACTAAAAACAAAGAAAAGATAAAGAAAAACTACAGAGAAATTAGTTTTTGCATACCTTATTGTTAAGATAAAGTTATATATAAACTTGAGTTGCTGTTTTCAGTTTCAGTCTTTGCAAAGAAATTTATATGCCAATTCTAAAGACACTTATTTTTCCACAACACTATTAAAAGCTGTACAATTTGAAATTAATAGATATGTGAAAATAATAAAGTTCAAATGAACAAGGAGACAACTGACCACACTCATATATCTGTTTAATTTTGTTTATAAATCAAGTTATATTGTTAAATTAGCAAAATAAGACTTTGAAAATCACAGCAGGGAAAAAAAATTTTTTTAAATAGCACATCTAGTTTTGTTAAACTGGGCCAAAATAAATGTAAAGTTTAAAAGTTAAACGTAAAGTTGTTTTGAAGATCTAGTGAAAAAGTTTACTAAATATGAATTAGATGAAAGAGTGGATGCTTCTGTTTGGAAGGCTATTTCCCAGTATGTAATGAAAATAGGGAAAATATTTTTGAAGTGACAGCAGAGCGGCTTTTTGTAAAAGCCAAGGAAAAGGAGAAAGTTTTCTTTTTTAAGAAGACTAGAAGTAAAGGAAATGCTTTAATAATGATGATCACACTTTACCTTCAGTAGTAATTGCAGAAGGACAAACTTCTTTTAAGAGATCTCCTAGCGTGTGCAATTGTCCATCTGCAGCAACTGGTCGAAATAACTTCTGAATGAAAGGTCGCTCAGTTGTTGCCTATAGAAAAAGAAAGCAGAAAGGGAAAATACATAAGATTTCTAAAAAACCCCTAGGAATTAAATCTTTGTTGATCACGAGACAAATTATGGTAACGTAATGGATAACAGAGTCATTGTCATATTACTTACATTGAAATTTCTTGCTAATGCCATATGCTTACCATTTTATTAAATTAATTTAAAACATTATTTTAAATAAGCTCTACAAACAAAAAGTTTTCTTCTAAAAACTGCTACATTGTTTAAAAATATTACACTTCTTCCTCAAGCCCACAAAGAGTGAATATAAACAAAGATGGTACAAAGTCTGAAAAAGCAGGAAATGACTTAATCTGAAATACTCAACTACTTAAGATTACTTTTTAAAGAGTCCTTTTCATCATTTCACTATAGTTTACTTCCTCAGAAAGTAGTATGAGAGAAAAACAGTTACCACTACTCTCCTGTGCTGCTTGATTCCTCTTTGCTTATAGGTTCCAAACTCTAGCAAAGGTTTGCAAATACCATCAAAAACCATTCTGCCTTAGTGTTGTTAATGAAAAGAAGTTCTAATAATAATGATAATATTAATATGTTACACCTGAACAATATAAAGGGGGAAAATACTTCCTCAAATAAAATGGCACCAAAACCATTATTTCTTATAACTGAAGCTTTTAAAAAAAAATAAAAATGCACAAAATTGTTCAAGTCCCACTAATATTTGCTGCTTAATGCCTTATATAAAGAGCTCTCTGTTCTAGGACTTCTTAAATCACCTCATAATACTTGTTATTACTGTCATTTATAATAAAAATGTGCATTTATAGCACTTTAAGTTTTGCAAAGCTCTATATGCTTGTCACATTAGTTCCTCCTAGTATCCTAGGAAGATACTCATTACAAGTTATAACAACAAAGAAGAAATTTAAAGGCAGAAAAATCTACTGCCTGGGAGATATAACCTGGTAACAAGGACTTTTACATCAGCTGTGAATTGAGCTGCTTCTAAAAAGCTATTAATTCCAAAGTGATTTCACAAAGCAAAACTAGTCCTTTGTCTACTAGTCAACTAACCCCCCATGAAGTCAGTGCTGGGACTTCGCAGAGAAAAAGGCTGGATACTTTCTAGAAATACTTTAAAAGCCAGTTCTCCTGTTTCCTTGCTCTTCTGACTAAGTAAGTTGGCAAAAATCCAAGAAATTTAACATAAAAATGAAATCTGTAAACACTGCTTTGTAATAAATAATAAGACTTTTAAAAGTGAATTAAACCATAGCATGACAGACAGAAAAGCTATCAAAAGGATATCATACAGCATCACATATCACAGGATCCACAATACTATTAAACTGTTCTAGCTACAAAACATATTTAGACATCTGTTAATACACAAAATATTTCAGTGACTTCCAAGAAACGGCATTAACTTGCCATGACAAAAATCATCTGAACCTCTTATGAAAATCACTATATTTGGTGGAATATCCTATATGATTAGTTACAGAATGAATGACTATCTTTCTCTTTTTTTTTTTTTAGGCAATATAGGTTAAGTGACTTGCCCGGGGTCACACAGCTAATAAGTATCAAGTGTTTGGTCTGAGGCCGAATTTGAACTCAGGTCCCCCGACTTCAGGGTCAGTGCTCTATTCACTGCGCCACCTAGCTGCCCCATGAATGACTATCTTTAAAAAAGTAGATGTTACTTTTACAAACATTTGTATTAATCATTTAACAAACATGTCAAGAGTAAAACAGACAGGATGGTATTGTTATTATTTTTCTGTGCTCATCAGTGAAACTATATATTAGCTCCTTTCTTTTTTCTTGGTCAAAGATAATATTGGTCCATCTAAGAGTTTATGAAACAAGTAAAAGATAAATTCCCTTTGGATGGTGTTTGCAAATATTCAATAAAGTCCTGAGTATTTTTTGGCTTTTGGACAGGTCATTAAATATTAAAGCCTACATTCTTTTATATGCTTACAATCATGCAATGGTTGTCAACATCAGTTTATTTCTAGAAACAAGCACTTACTTGTAGGAATTTTGATATCCACCAAAATGGATGAATAAGAGCTGAAGTAATATTGGGAAAAGCTTTGTTTCTAATATTAGCTAGCACACTCTAACACAGTTGGTTAAAGTTAAACAAAACAGAAACACTGATTTCCTAAGGGAACATTAGACATAATTTGGATTTTTTTTATTCTGAAGTTAATGAACACCAAAAAGGGGGGCAATATTTCCATATACAAAGGAAGACAGTAAAAGGATTTTATGTGAAACTGTAAATCTCTACACATTTTTTTTAAATATACATTTCTCTCTCAACTTCTTTCTGTGTATTTTATAAAATGTTTCAATTACCCTTTTTTCTTTCTGGCAATACAATAACTAGTTATCTCTATCATGCCCCATGAAAAAAGAAAAAGAAAAGAAAAAACAGTCTTTGTAAAAATAATCACAGTCACGCAAAACAAACCTACACATTTACCATGTCTTAAAACTACATGTATCTTCTGGACTATGTGTCAAAGTCAAGTCAAGTAGCATTTATTAAGCGCCTGTTATATGCCAGGCAGTGAGGATACAAGGAGCTCACAGTATTAATGGAGGAGACAACATGTAAATTATTATGTACAAACAAGATAAAGGATAAATACAAATATCTTAGAGAAAAGGCACTAGCATTAACTGGGTAGCATACATCCTCATTGGTCTTTTCAGGTGGTAGCTGCTCGTTACATTGACAGAGTTGTTGCTGTTTGTTCGTTCTCAAAGAAGACTACGACATCAAGGAGGTGATGTCATGACATGCAAGTAAACTGGATTTAAGTGAGGGAGGGCTGTGCAGAGTCACCAGCCTCATTTTCTCCTCTGAAGCCATCTGAGTCCAGTGGCAAGATATAAATCGGGATGCCTGAAGATGGCCCTGGATGCAGAGGGAGACTTTGGTCTCAGCTTGACTGAGGCAACGCTCATTCAATGATTAAGGCTAGGTACAAAATGAGGCAGTGAATGGACTCTTTTACCTAGTAAAAAAAAAATTAATCTGGGAGGGGAAGACTCCCAGGGCTTCTGACCAAAACAGAAACAATTGCTATTTACATTCCTCTGAGCCAAACAATGACCAAATGGGGTTTGACCTCCCATTGCTGGCCAGTCAATGAGAGCCAGAGTGATCTGGGTTTAAGGCATGGTCCTTAAGAAAGAAATCTAGCCTATAAACCCCAACATAGCTTGAGGTTTCAGCTCAAAATTTACATTCCTTTGGGTAGTTATAGGGTATGGTATAAGGGTATGTATGATACTGTATGCAGACAGAGGGAAGAGAGAAGAGAGGAAGGGGGAGAGGGAGGAAGAAGGAAAGAAAGACTAAAAGAAAGAAGGAGCTGTGTTTGCCCAACAGGCCAGCTCCAGCTGGGTCCCCTGTGGGGCAGCTACTCCTTCCTACTCACAGGGGTTGTTGTTTGTCCTTCATTCTCAAACAGGATCATGATATCAGGGAGATGATGCCATGACACGCAAGTGAACTGGATTTAAGTGGGGGAGGGCTGCGCAAGCTTCACTTTCTCCTCCAGAGCCATTTGGGTCCAGCGATAAGATACAGATCGGAGCTAGCAAAGAAGTGGAAACTAAGGAGGAGCCCATCAACTGGGGAACTAATGTAATGGAATACTACTGGGCTATAAGAAATGATAAAGGGAATGGTTTTAGAGAAATTGGCGAAATTTGTTTGAACTGATGCAGGGTAAAGCTTCTCTTGACTGCCAAAAGGGGCCATGACACCCAAAAAAGTCAAGCATCCCTGCTGTAGGAGTACTGGATTATTCTCTGTTCTCTGCTCCTATGCTATCTTCTTTTGACTTTGTACTACGACTGATGCCTGGGATTCTTCTTATCTTCTCTCCTCCTCCTCTCCTTGGTTTGCGTTAAGCTATTTATTTCCCTTCAATGCCTTCTGTTTGTATATATGGGTCTTCTCCTGTTTTTACCAGATTTATAAGCAAAGCACAAACAGTTTATTTTCAACTTGGTTTAAAAAAATGTAACTCTGATAAGTCAATACTTATCATAAAAAGAAGCCAATAAATATCAAGCACATTGTTTCATTGTTTTTTTAAAAAGAGAAATAAAGACTACCTTATTTGCAAATAGTCTGATTTCTTTCAGTATTCACCTGGTTTCTCTCAGTGCCCAGGACCCTGACAACCTTTGTTCAATTATCTGGACATTAAAGAAATTTAGTACTATGAAATTCAGAACTTTGTGTTTTATATTTATTATCAGGGCAAAGTGTATTATTTTAGGTCAATGTCTACAACAATCTAGAGCAAATATGATTATATCCATCAGTGGCAATAACAGGTGACTTAAGCTACCAAAACATTTGTACCTTTTAGATACAAAGCTAGCTTCAAAAATTTTTTAAGAAATAAAACTTCTTGAACACTGAAATTTAAAAAAAAATCTTTTAATTATGGTCATGATGCTACTTACATATTTATTCTTAGATGTGCTTTATGAAGGTTAAATCAAATGAATTTTATAGTTCAATTACCCAGATGATAAACCACACTTTGGAGGTTATATATGTTTTTTCTTTCATTTTCAAATGCTTGTTTTTAATATCATTGTGTTTCTAATCTTTGTTTCCAATCTTTACATCTAAAGATTACTACTTCAACTTCCTAAATATTCTTCTTGTACCCTCATTAGACATAAACTACTTAAAATTATCCTATATGTTCAGCCCACACCAAAACCACCTTATAATTTCCATGTGTGGAGAAATCGGGTTGTAGAAAAACGTAAAATTTCTGTCTTTCATATTTGAGTCTTACTAATGCCAAAATCATAAGCTATAGAACTTAAATGAACAAAGGATTTAGAAATAATTAAAATGTCTTAAAAGTTATAAGCAATCACTCAACATTTCCTTAAAATGAGTTCAGACCTTACCACAAATTTATAATCCCTCAGAACCATCTGTGGGTAACATTTACATTGCTT